GAGCTAATTTAAACCACCCTCCTGTCACTTCCTATTAACATAGTTACCTTTTGAAGAAAAATTGAGTGGCTTCATGGATTGCATTCTCCAAGTATAGCTATTGTTATTTAATTTTTGAATAATTTCAATGCTTTGATTTTACAAATTGCAACATGGTTCGTTCCAACTTCTGTTAGGATTTAGTCAACAGAAGAATAAATATATACAAAAATGATGTCTCTGCTATTTATGAAGAAATACTTAATTCATAGTCACAGGATGATCAGGGTAAGCCAGGGGTTCTAAAGCACCGTAACTATGGGGGATTGGAGTTCACCACCATCCATCTTAGCTGAAAAATCCCATGGAGGGAACAAAAAGTTACTTTAGAGCTCCAACAAATATTTTTGAATTAAGTAATTTTTTTTCATGCACAGGAAGATCCTCTCTCTCTCTCTCTCTCTCTCTCTCGCTCTCTCTCTCTCTCTCTCTCTTTCTCCTAGTCCTTTTCTGACTCTTATTTTCTTGTATTGCTCACCAAGGATCTCTGATGTGATACAGGAAGCTATATCTAGGGCTATCAAATCCTGGTGCTATATATTTTTTAAAAAAATGTTTGTATTTCAGATGATAAAGTTGCAGGTCATTGAGCTTTCATCATTGAAAAAAATCATCATCGAGAGTAGTTTTTTAAAAAAAGAGTCATTGACCCTTCACTCAGATTTTACTCAGGCTCTCTTAATTAGGGGAGGCAGATATAAAAATTAAATTAAAGATGTAATTATCTCTCATCACTTCAAGTCGTCTGGTCAGAGAGCCCTGTACTTTACCCCATAAAGTGGGACTTCCTTCTGAGTGCAAGTTAAGGATCTCTATGTTCTTGTAATTTATGACTTATCTTATTGTTGGAACTATGCTCTTGTGAGATCAAGCATTTGCCATAAATCACATGAAAAAATAAATTGAGGAACTTCTCTACTGCATGATAGGTAATATTTAAAGAAAAAACTGGAGAACACTAACCTTACATCTCCAGCTCTGAGCTTTTTACTTTGGGACTCTGAGCATTTTATGATCCTTTATCCTCAGAATCCCAGCTTTTATAAATGGGACTCAGACTTGTGAATCTCCTGTCAATTCATCCAGCTTGTTAATTTACTACATGTTCTAAGGTGTTTTAACCACAGACGATGCAAAAAAAACCCAACAACAATAGTTATTCCTCTATTTCCACCATTTCCCTGATATTTCTGATCAGGTTCACCACTGGTTCCCTTGATCTTTCTGGAACTAGAATAGACAGCTGGCACAGGCCCTGAACAAACGGGATGGGCTGCTGTGATTTGGAGATTCAGGAAGGTTCATGTGCTATCTTTGATCTGTGAATATGTGTCCTCTCAGTGCTCACCTACATACAAGAAGACTCCACTCTCTGGGATGCTGGTTGTAACTGCCATGAGGGGATTTGCAAGGTCCCCCCACTCCCCCAAGAGGCTATCTGTTTCTTCCCAGTTGCTAGATCTCCAAATCTACAGTGAAGAGGACGGTGGTGGTGGTGACACCAATCGAGGGCCAGATGTTCCTGCAGAGGTAACAAGGTTTCATTGCAGGGGCCAACAGTGCAGTATGAGAAAGCTCCTGACGTGCATTTGTGCTTATGAGAGAGACTGTGGAAATGGGTTGATGATATCTACTGGGGGCAAAGAGTTGAGGAGTGGCCACAGACCTGCCTCTTATTTGCCATTTCTAGGTTAGGTTCTTCCCCTGGTTTAAAACGTTACTACCTCAAATCTAGAGCTGTAATTTTCTGTAACTGCAATAGTTTATCACCCAAACACCCTCCTTTGAAATTCAAGGTGAAAGTGGGAGCTACTTTGTATTAAATGTTGATGATTTCTAATTACTTCATTACTTTTTGGGGGCAATGTACAGCCTGTCTTTGCTGACAGAAGTAGTTTTTAATAGATTGTATGAAAAGAGGTAATCTCTTCATTTACCCCTAGAGATAATTTTGAACATAAGTTTGAACAGAGAGAATTAGGGCTTAACTCCTGGCAGGCCTGGCTCAGTGGTTGAGCATGGAACTATTAACCAAGAGGTCACAGTTCAATTCCTGGTCAGGGCACATGCCCAGGATTCAGGCTCCATCCCCAGTCGGGGGTGTGCAGGAGGCAGCCAATCAATGATTCTCTCTCATTCTTGATGTTTCTATCTCTCCCCCTCTCCCATCCTCTCTGACTTCAATAAAAAATATTTTTAAAGAAGAATTACGGCTTAAAAAGGCAATGAAAGAGAGAGAGAGAACCTTGCCTTAATTGGGGAACTATTTAGAAAGTAGAGAATGCAATGGAATCTTGTAAGTGGCAAAAGAATAAACCAGCCGAGGGATGGGGGCTGTGGAGGGGATGAAAGTCCTCACTGACATATTTAGCCGGGGCTGCCCCACTGGCGGAGACAAAGCTGAGGAAGAAGAGCGTGGCTGGGAACCTTGGCTCCCCAGGCAGTGATTTAGATTGAGTGAAAATTAGAAGGGTTAAGACAGAAGTCTCATCCCTGAGAAGTGTGTTCAGACCTAGCTTGTTTTTCCTTGTGTTGAACCCCTCACTGGAGGAAGTCCCTGTGCTGAACACTCTCATAGATCCCCTTACTACTCCCCCATGGCATTTACTGAAGATCTTAGGTGCATATTTGTTGATGAAGGCCCATCTCCCTCACTAGACTGTAAACCGCATGAAGGAAGGGCTCATGGTATCGTCTTGTACACCAGCCTAGTTCCCGTGTACAGTGCCTAACAAATAGTAGGTGGACAATAAATATTTATATTTAAAATGTTCTATATTTATTGGACAAATAAGTGGATATTTCAAGTATAGCCACTAAGAGTGCCACCACGAATAGGCTGTTTCCATGGTTGGCTCAGAAGCCAAATGGCTGAGGTCTTTGGAAGGACAACTCCACTTTGTTGCCATGAATGATGTAGCAATGGTTTCTTATTTCCTTTTTCTTTGTATTTTAATTCCTTGCTAAATCCTTGACGTTATACAGTTTCCCAACAACTCATCAAGCCCTGTACCCAGTCAGGCACGCCCTGCCAGCCTCCATCATTCTCTCCCCCACCTTTGATGTGCACCTTCCAACTGCAAATCTGGGCCTTAGCCGTGCCCACCTCTTGCTGCTTAACTCACCCAGTTACTAGTTTCAAATGTTCCAAACACAGACAATCCAGGCTTTAAGACATTTCAAAAAAGAAATGGAGGAAATTATGTTTCTCCACTGCTCTACCCGATTTCATCTCTGCAGCTTTGACACTGTTGTGCACTCCCTACCTTTTTAAAACTCTTGGATGCTACATCACCATGCTCTCGGTTCCTCTCCTACTTACCCAGCCATCTCTGCTCTCCCTCCCTTCCCCTTTCATTCCTTAAATATTGATGTTTCCCAGATGGCTTCTTTGTCTTCCTTCCACACTTGCTCCTTGATTTCTCTGGTTGTCTTGCTTTCAGCTACAACATAAGTTTCGTGATTCTCAGATCCTGTCCTGAGCTCTACTACTATTCCAGACCCTTAGTTTCAACTATCTAGTGCCCGCTCTTATGAATTTCTATTGGTATTTTGCTACAGTTTCCTAAATAGTGTGTTTACAATGGATGCTTCACCGCTTCAGTTCAACCTCCATCTATTACCTGTTTTCTTGAAAAAATAAAACTGAGAGTGCCAACCTTCTCTTAAATACCTCCTATGGACTCCCAGGTCTGCAGGGTAAATCATCATCACCATCATCATGACTATTTAAGTGCCTGCTGTGTGCTTAGTACTGTTCCAATCATTTCATATACAACATATTAACTCATTTAATTCTCATACCGCACTGTGAGGTAGGTACTGGTTATCCCCATTTTACAGATGAGGAAGCTGGGGCACAAAGATGATGTGTAGTGTGTTCGAGATCATGCAGAAACAAAGTCCATCCTTTTCAGGTGGATTACGAAGCCCTTTTCATGCCTCCCTCTATTCTCCAATCGATGAACCTTTCCCTTGTTTCTCAACACTCCTCCCTCCTTCACATTCCCCTGCACTTGGGCGTGCTGTTCCCACTGACTGGAATATTTGTTAACTCATCGTTTACCTGGTTAACTTTTACTCATTCATTAAGACTCAGTTCTCAAATAGTTTTCTCTGTGAGGACACAAAACTCTCCGGGCAAAGTTGGTCACTCCCATCTCTGTGATGATACCTAACTTTGTGCACATTTGTCCTGTCACAGGGCATTCTCTGCTTTATTGCACAATGGGGCTCTGCTATGTATCTGTGTCCTCTGAGCTCCTTAAAACCAGGAAGGAGCTCATAGTCTTCTTTGCTCCTTTAGTAGGGGCCTGCTATATAGTTGGTTATCAAAACATGTTTGTTGGAGGAAACAAATAACCAGAAGCTCCCTGAGGTCAGGGACCACATTTTTCTTCTTCAGTGCTGTGAACTCAACCTTTAGCACAACACATAGAAAGTGCTCTATTAATATTTGAATTAAAAAAATAAAAAGAACTGGATTGTCAGGGTTTTAATGAAATTTAACCTAGTAGAACTTCCTATTTTGCATTTCCTAATTTGTAGGCAGCAGTTTCAGCAGCACAAAGATGGGATCTCTTGGTGGTTAATAATTAAAAAAAAATTAAAGTTAAGGCATAAGTTGTCTTGGTTTCTCTTGGTCCCCTTTTAAATTTTCTGAAAATAAAAATCATAGTGTAAATACATAAGAGCGCATCCCTATTTTAGACCACTGTCTTTGTTTATAATTTAATAAATTCTTATTTTATATTACAGAACTATTTAGATCTCACCCATATCCACTAAAAATAAAAAGTAAAAAGTAAAGCTAACTTGCTTGTTTAGAAGTATTGATATATTAGTGGAATTAAATATTTCATAATCTAAAAATTACTTTCCATTGATTGAAACCAAACAGGTGGACGGTGGTAAGGAGAGGTGTCCAGGTAGCCTTGGCTGCCTGGACAGGGAACCTTTACCTGCTGGCCGGGCTTGATGGGTGAGAGCGTGATGCCCTGGGTGTTGATCACTGGCAGGATCTGGTTCCCGATGACCGTGGCGATGATCTGGCCCTGGGCGTTTGTCAGGAGCTGGGGGGTGATCGACTGCACTTGGAGGCCCTGAGTGCCGCTCGCTGCCTGGCTCGATGGCCCCGGATTTGGCATCAGAGGGATGGTCCCAATTATCTGCAAGAGACAGGCCCACAGGTGAGGTGCCAGGCTCTGGCATGGGTCCAAGCTGCACCTGAAGACCACTCCTCCCTGGTCTGTAGGAGGCTCCCTGAGACCCCACTCAGGATCTGTGAACAGACCTGGAGACCTGGCGATTCGAGCAGGGAAGAAAGTGGGAGGAATGAGAATCTGACTGAAGGGGAAACATCTTCTTTAAAAATAAAATCAAGCGCCAGTGATGGCAGAAACATGTGATTGCTACCAGGGCATCACAGATGCCTGCTTTGTCTCAGGATCAGAGGGAAGGCAAACTTCCCTTGGCACTCACAGCCCTCATCCAG